AAAAAAAGTTTTTTTAGAAATTTCCCTAAAATAAGTTTTCAATTTAAAAAAGCCTCTATTCACACAAATAAACTAGGTTCAGTATAAATGTGATCTCTTTGTTTTGTTGTAAATAGGCTTAATTATGTTGTATTAATTATCGCAAAGTACTAACCTATTATTTATTGAGATTTAGATACATAAACAAAAGAAGATGTTGAAAATAATATCATATCCTGGAAAAGCAATAACTATCTTTTATAAACCCTTTACGGAATCAAATTTTTTCAATTTAATATGCACTCAACAGATAAATTTGTAATAGATGACCTGAATTTATCCTTTTCACATCCAATTATTAAAAAATCGGATTCTACTATAGCAGTCGTTGGAAATACCATTGTAAAACACGGAAAAAATTCTTTTAATATATTGAACTTACCATTGACATGAGACCAACCTTCTTTGAAGTTTGTATATATGTCAGAACACTTATCAAAGAAGGATTTTGATTTTTCTTTGTTTTTATAAGCAACCATTAAATATATATATTCTTGTTAAATTCGATCTATTTGAGCCAAAAAATATTTTTTTAAAAGCCAAGCCTTGTACATTAAAACAAACCTAGAAAATTCTCGGCTAAAAATTTTAACTAACTGGTGGGGAAGAACTGGTTGTAAATTATCAATATCTGGATTTTTTGAGAATCTCTTTCTACTACAATTTCATTTAGTCCTTCAATAAATTCAATAAAAAGCCTTCCTATACTATATTCCAAAGTACTTTTTTTATTTCCTTCAATGCTTTTATACATTTTAAGCCACAACAACCCAAGATCAAGTATAAAATTGTTAATATTTTTGTATGAAACCATACAAGTTTTTCCAATAATAAAAATATCAGTATTTGTTAACTCACATCCTATATTTATAGAACCTACAGTCTCAATCATATTTTGTGCCAAACGTTTCAATTTGCTTTTTTGCTGCAAAAAATGTTCTAGCACCTTGTAATCTAATTTGAATTTTTTTAATTATTCTCAAAAATTGATCTAGTGCAAAAACGATTATCCACCAAGTTGATTCTGGCTTACTGGAAGGATTTTTTAGGCTTAGGTGCTCAAAAACAAATATTCTATTAACAAATAATCATGATATAACATTTTCTTTAGACAGCCGTTGAGTATCAGAAAATTTTGGGCAGGTTGTTCTCATGGCCATAATAAGATTTTGCTGTCTTTGTAGATGTTTCATTTATCCAACCAATTGCAAATAACACTTTTTGATTATTAACTCTTCAAAACGTTTTTTTAATACAAGGTCTAGTTGATTTAATCCACAATAACTCTAATGAATCCTGGATAATTTTTTTTTACCTAATCAGGTATCTAAGTCACGGTATTTTACGTCATTGATCTCTCACCACAATTTAAAATCCCCAGTAGCTGGTTTTTCCAATTTGGAATCGCGTCGTTTAAAAAATATATTAATAAATAGCCATATTCTTGCCTGTATGAAATTCTCAACATGGTAAAGCCAAAAATGAAAGTTCTGAACTGATTAGTAGAAATTCATATACAGATATCTAGGTATTAAGTTCCTTAAATGGTTGACATACCTCGGCAATAGAAAATGTCCTCAAATCCAAACAAGCTAAAAATTTTTTGAGGTTTATAGCTATAGCTTGGCTAGTAAAACCTACTATTTTTTTTTGCTAGCGCCAAAGAAAAATAAAAGCACGTGATTTCCTTTGTTATTTATTTTGATTTCAGCAAGTTTTTCTGAATCAAAAATGTCCATAAAGAGTTTCGGATATCTTTATCTGTGATTCAAAAAACAATTTCTTATTTTCTGTTGAAAGTTTTTGGTACTTATCCTATTTTCCCTGTGTTTTCTATATAGATGTGATTTGTAATAGTCAGTTCTAAACAATCTTAAGTATTTTATATTATTAGTTCAAACTCTTTTCCTGGTTCCACTTTCCCGAATATTTGATACATTGTCTCTACTGTATTAAACATAAAATTGACAATAGCTGAATATACATTCCCTGTGTTATATTCTCGGTTTATGTCTCCAACCCATATTTCAATATATGAGAGTCTTAAAAGCTTGCTATTTGTTTGGATCTTGGATTTTTTTTCAGAATGGTTACTTTCTGTACACCTGGTTTTCTATTGAGTATGCTTAATAGTAAAATATGGGCATTCTTGCTTTGGTAGCTTTTGAAGAAGAAATTTGAAAAGAAAAATTGATAGCAATTCAAGTCAATATAGAAAAATTTTTACACCATTCTTTTTAAAATTATATTTGATTGGATTTTTGTTTTAAAATATCCATGGATTTTAAAATCAAAACGTGTACAAAGTTTTTGAAGGGTTAATATCCAATCAATTATATCAATTTGGGATTTTTGTAATTTATTTTATTGTCTTTGTAATTTTTTTCATATTCTGCAATTTACTGATGAATACTGATTGGCTATTACAATATTTCAAGAAATTGTGAAGCAAAAAAAAATTTGGTATCTGTGGGATTCGAACCCACGCCTCTTGCGAGACCGCAACTTGAGTGCGGCGCCTTAGACCGCTCGGCCAAGATACCTAAATGGGGACTCCGAGGATTGAACTCGGGACCGTACGATCTTCAGTCGCACGCTCTCCCAGCTGAGCTAAGTCCCCAATCGTCAGCGGCAGGATTTGAACCTGCGCGGGCATAGCCCAATAGATTTCAAGTCTATCTCCTTAACCGCTCGGACACACTGACTATTGGTTTTGTCGTAGTCAACATCTACTAACACAATCAAATAGTGATTAGAATTTTTCCTACTGGGTTTTGTCTAATCACTCATTGGTTGTGAAACTCCAACGTTGTGAACCATTTTTTTAT